AGATGACAGAAAAGCTAGAAAAGATAAATCTCTTTATCTTGATTCTCTTTATTCTAGAATCTAGAGTAAAGAGCATGAAAGAATCAGGATTAAGAACGCAATAGGCAGCTAAGATTTAATAATGATGACGGAGACAAAAAAAACTATGTTACAAAAAAGTAATTGAATAAGTGGAAATGTAGCAACCAGAAGCAATCTAGAAACGTAGTAACAATACAAAAGTTAGGAAGTTATCATATCAAGAGAAGGTAAAAAGCCCGAACGAGGCCCGAAGGAAAGGATTAAGAGAGAAAACAGAAAAGTTTCTGCGTGTGGATGGAAGAAATTTAGAAATAAACCAGAATGTAGAAGATGCTACAAAAGCCAGAAAGGAAAAAGCAAAATCTAGAATAAAGAGAAAGAAAGGATTCAAATCAAGAAAGTAAGACACGGTGTTTAAGAAGGGCTAGAAATTCATAAAGAAAGGAAAGACTAGAAAGAGAAATCAATAGAAATATAGAAGCCGGAACAATCTAGAAACGTAGTAACAACACAAAAAGCAGGAAGATGTCATATAAAAAGAAAGGGGAAAATCTGAACGAAATATGAAAGAAAGAAATTAAACGAAGAAGGATGAAAAAAATGTAGAACATGCCAGAAAAGCCAGAAAAGAAAAGAAATTAATATAGAATAAAGAGATTGAAAGAGTTAGACTCGAAGAAGTAGGACACTGTAAAAAATCAATTATGGTGATGCAGTCAGGAAGAACAGAAGCGCTAAAAAACAGCTAGAAATACCGAAAGAAAAAAAAGTAAGAAGAGAAATAATAAATGGAAATATAAAAGCTAGAATCAATCTATAAACGTTGTAGTAAGACAAACCCTAAGAACATATTATATAAAGAAAAAGAGATAACCTCGTACGAAGCTAGAAGAAAAGAAATCAAAAACAAACTAGCATATTTCTATGGGTGGATGAAAAAAATGTAGAAATATACTAGTATTTAGAAGATGCCAGAAAGGAAAGAAAAGAGAGCTGAAGTTAGTGAAGATACCAATTACATTGATGGAGAAAGTCCTTAAATTTAATTGACATCATTGAATGATGAATCAAATATCGAAAAAGTATTGTTGAAAACCTATATCTACCGCAATAATGATGGCGGCATCTATATGAAACGTGGAAAAGAGGGTAAAAACATTTCGAGTGTCTTTGTGGAAGACTATATTGTTTTTAAAACTGCTAGATCTACCGCAGTAGCCATGGATAAGTAAGTATTTTTAAGGAAATAAATCCAAAACAAGTGTTTCCAGCTTTGCACAAGGAAGGATCTTGATCAAATGGACACTATAGAAGATCACTATTAAGGGTTAACAAAAAGATATATCTTTGTTAATTTTTTAATCACCAACGTATGAAAAAAAGTTATTCTCCCTGATAATATTCATTTTATTCTAATCTTTTATCTGGTATTAAATATCTATATTCTATATCTGGACACGAGGCAAAATAACATTAACTTCTTGTTCTTCTTCAAGCACTAATCATCTGTGAAGAATGAATAATATTGATGGAGCCTGAAAAAAAATAAATATAGAATAAGAATAATAATAAGGAGAGAAATAAATACATACATAGAAGCCAGAAACAAAAGAAAGAACACATGATATGTAGAAAATGACAGAAAAACAAGAAAGGAAAAAATCTAGAATAAAGAAAAAGATAGACTGAGAATCAAGCAAGCAAGAGACGTTACAAATAAACCAGATTGGACAAGATGCCAGGAATGCCAGAAAAGAGAAAAAATGAATATAGAATATAGAGAATGAAAAAGTTTGAATCGATGAAGCAGGACACTGTAAAAAGTTAATTATATTGATGCACCCAGGAATAACAAACGCGCTAAAAACAGGCTAGAAATACAGAAAGAAAGAAAAAAGTTAGAAGAGAAATAATAAATAGAAATATAGAAGCTAGAATCAATCTACAAACGTTGTAATAAGACAAAACCTAAGAAGATATAATATAAAGAAAGGGGTCTATATTTATATGAAACGTGGAAAGAATGGTAAATACATTTCGACTCTCTTTGCGGAAGACTATATTGTTTTCAAAGCTGATGAGTAAGATGAGTAAGTGTTTTCGGCATTGCACAAGGAAGAATTTTGATCAAATGGACACGATAGAAGAACACTATTAAGAGTTAACCAAAAGATATACCTTATATCATATATATGAGATAAAATAATATTAACTTCCTCATCTACTTCCAGTATTATAGTCATCTGTGGACTTTGTCTTGTTTCACAATACTTTGCCATTCCGATCTGTTAAACGACGCACTCCTCTAGTTACAATCACCAAGCGGTCTAAAACCCTTCATCACATCATCCTTCAATCGTTTCTTTAGTCAGAGTCAGAGCCATCCTAGAGTACTAGAGTTCTTTGTCCCTGTGATGTCGATTCTACACTTCTCTTCACTCCTCTGTCTCCATGCATCCTTTCCAGTTGTCCACGCATACTATTTTCTGTGCATCCATAGACTGAGAATCAAGGAAGCAAGAGATATTACAAATAAACCAGATTGTAGAAGATGCCAGAAATGCCACAAAAGAGAAAAATGAATATAGAATATAGAGAATGAAAAAGTTAGAATCGAGGAAGCAGGACACTGTAAAAAATTAATTATATTGATGCAACCAGGAATAACAAAAGCGCTAAAAACAGGCTAGAAATACAAAAAGAAAGAAAAACGTAAGAAGAGAAATAATAAATAAAAATATAGAAGCTAGAATCAATCTACAAACGTTGTAATAAGACAAAACCTAAGAAGATATTATATAAAGAAAAAGGTATACCGTATATGATATACACGAGACAAAATAACATTAACTTCCTCTTCTACTTTCAGCATTATAGTCATCTGTGGACTTTGACTTGCTTCACAATATTTTGCCATTCCGATCTGTTAGACGCCGCACTCCTCTAGTTTCAATCACCAAGTGGTCTAAAGCCCTTCATCACATCATCCTTTAATCGTTTCTTTAGTCATCCTCTAGTTCTTTGTCCCGATGATGACGATTCTATACTTCTCTTCACTCCTCTGTCTCCATGCATGTATTTTCTGTGCAGCCATATTGTCTGGACTATTCATGAGCTCGTCCAATTCGTGGTTCATTGTTGTTCTTCACATTCCAACACCATCTTTTATCGGTCCATATATTGCGCAGAATCCTTCAATCATTATTTAAAGACTCATAATTTTTCATCTGCTGTGGATATGGGTCCATGTCCAAAGGAGATGGATGGAAATGGTTATATTTATTTGATATTAAATCCTTCAGAAAATGTAGTCGCACCAATGCAACAAATGAAAATCGTTGTTAGAATAGAAAATTCAAAATAAATTTGCTGAGATTAAAAAATAAGTGTTATAAAATTAGTTGAAAAGAATAATAATAGTAGTACGATGTAGTTTTTGAGAAAAAGTGGAAGGTGTGATATGAAAATAAATAATTGATGGGATAAAAAGGGGGGTCCCGTCGAGATGTCCCCAGTTTTATGCCGGCAGTGTCAAAACATTCTTTCCCTCGTCGATCGTTAAAACAAACGGCGCTGACGCCGGCGGAACGAAAAAAATCCCAAGTCCGGCCAGTTTTATGTCCTTCCTGCGACGATTTCTCGATTTTTACGATCCGACCGTTTGTGGGAAAATTTACGGCGCGCTTAATCGGTGCTTTACGTGCCCCCTTCGTTATTAAATAATTACGCTTTTTTCTGTTATTTTCTGTCTTTCCAAGAAAAGAAAAATCTTTATTCTTGGGGATCATTTTGTTTTATTTGGGAGCGACTCAATATAAATCCTACGTAAGCACTATTTCAAAACAATCCGTTATTATATTCTTAATAAGTAAGTTTTCTATTACCGTGGATAATGATGGTTTAAAACCTACCGGTTCATTAGATTAAATCGCGGTCAAGCTGTGAGAGACTCAGAATGAGAGGGTAAAAGAGAAGAAGCGGAGTGATGACGATGAGCAACAACTCGAATGGACTTAAGTATGTAAAGCATAATGAAGGTTTCAGATTGTTTCAGACCCCCCGCCTCGGTGGTTCGGTGGGGCGCTACGGTAGTTCTTGTTCGCGGCCGAACGGTCCATCCGGCAAAAGAGATAACGCGCCGGTGAAGAGGAGCAATTGATGTGCCGGAGCTCCGTTTTAAACTGCTCTCAATGTCCGCTTCTTCTTCAACGCGACCATTTCGGTCAATCTATACTATAGTATCTACTTTACCAAACGGAAAACCGCTTTAATTAACCGTAACCTTTGATAGCCTCGTATCACACTATACATTTTATTGCCAACAGAAGTGACAACACGTTCCTATACTATACGACTTCTTTCAATTAAAAGAAGAGAACAATTTTTTTTCTTTTACATGTTTTTTCGTTTTATTTTCTTTGGTGGTGTGTATATGATGGTTCTGCTACTATTTTAGTAGAAACGGTCTCGGGAGTGGACACCGTCGATGCCTCCACTTAACGAGTTGATGGATGGACGACGGTGTAACATTAATCATCCGAAATCAATTTGAGGGGCTTCGTCCGTCCCGTCAGGTCCGGGGCGCACCTCCCGACACGCACACGCCGCCGCCGCCGCCGACTTCGTGGGAGTGGCCCCCCTCAGGCCCTCCGGAGACAATCCGCAACAATGGGCCGCTAATGAAGCTCATTAGTTAGGGAGGTGCGAACTGCGACCTATACCCTCGGACCACCAATGAACTATTTAATAAATTTTCGAACCTACAATCGTCAAAAGAATTTGATTGATTTGAAAATAAAAAAAGAAATGGATGTAATGGTATGTTACGTAACAAAAGCGTTAAGAAGCATTTTATGCACCGAAAACATATTTAATCATAATTCGCATTAATTCTTCTGGGTTAATCTCAGCCAATAACAAAATAAGACCTATGCTAGGATTTTACATGTATTTAACAAGAGAACCGATTTTGAAAAGCTATGTCTCATTCGAAAGCTGAATACGAAAGTGGAAGTGTCCAATTCGAAATCGAAAGGTACACGAAAATAACACAAAAACGACCTTCTTTAAGTAGTCATAACTAGTAAACGATGTACTCGATTATCGAGATCTATACGTCATTCGATTCGTCATAATTTATTCTATTGAAATCATAAAAAAGCCCGATCTTGATTCTCTTCCGTTAACCATGTACAGGGTGTCCCGTTAAGCGTACGGAGCGCCTGTATCTCAATAACGGTAAGACCTAGAGGTTTGGGAAAAAAATCGTTATAAGCAAAGTGGGCAAGAGAAATAGCTGGAAATTATTTTGAAATTCGTAATTCGACCGCTAGGGGGCGTAACTGCCATAGAGAAACATAAAATTCCCGCTATCTCAGAAAGTTAGACGATGAGCTATAACTTTGACAACATCATTTAGTAGCTTGGATAATACCGCATCGCTTTTGTTTTGCGATATTTCTCATATCTGTCATAATAAGGGAGGGGGAGGCCAATGCGTTTTCAAATGTTTACATTTTAATATCTCCTGGAC